CTTACGTAATTTTTTTTTTTTTTTGCACTCTGCTTCAGTTATATTGACGAAGGAGAGAATATCAGATGAACGATTTTATTTTATAATTTGTAAAGTTCTTTTTTTTTCCGCTGTTTGTTTCTACCAGGTTTAATTAAAAAATAATTTGGGGTTAATATTAATTAAATAATTTTTTTAGTTAATATAAATTTGAATATGCTTTTCTAATGAGTGGAAAATATTGTGATGGATGATGTTATATATCAAACAGTTTATTTTTATAAAGATGATGATTCCACCGATTTTAGATAAGTATAATTTACATTAATATTTTCTTTAATACGGTACATATATAAAATTGTTTTGCAAAGCACATTTACTTAAATACATAATAGTCTTTTGCAGCTTAAGTTTATGCAATATATTTTGCATGCAAATAGAAAGCCACATGTTAGCCCCTAAAAAATTGGAGTCGTTTCTGCATTTAAAACACCGTCGAGGGTACTGGTGTGTGTGTGGGTGTGTGTGTGTGTGTGTGTGTATGTGTGTGTGTGTGTGTGGGTGGGTGTGTGTGTCTGGGGGGGGGGGGGGGTAGGTGTGTGTGGGTGTGGGTGTGTGTATGTGTGTGTGTGTGTGTGTGTGTGGATGGGTGTGTGTGTGTGTGTGTCTACACGTCATTGTGGAAAAAGATGTTTTGAACATGGTTTCTTCAATATTCAGCTAAAGTCACCGGTATTGATCAACTTCTACAAATATTTTAGCTGGTAATTTTTCTGTAGTTTATAACAATTTTAAGTGTAATTTCCTTACGTTCATACTAATTTTAGTGATAATTTTCCTATCGTTTCTAACAATTTTAGGGAGATTTTTCCTGTCTTTTCTGCCCTTTTTAGTAGCAATTTTCCATTAGTTTGTACCAATTTCAGGAGATATTTTTCTATTGTTTTCACCAATTTTAGAAGAAATTTTGCTATTGTATACTTCAGAATTAGGAGAACTTTTCCTCTCGTTTTTCACCGGTGCTCATATTTTTTCCAATTAAGTCTTTCACCGTTTATTTATATTTTAAGTTGGTTAGTGTGTGACTTATTTTAACAAGGGGATACGTTGATAGCATGTAATACTCTCTCATTTTTCCAAACCTGTCCTCAAACTTTTCGAAAATTGTCTACAACTTTTCAAACCGGTCTATCAAATTTGTAAAACATGTCTGTAAACATATCCAAACCTGAACTTATATGAACTTATCTGATATAATATGAACAAATATGAGTTTATCTAAATTGATCTGTAATCATATGAGCTTATGTGATCTAATCTCAGTTGATTTGAACTAATTTAAGTTTGTCGGAACCAATCTGAACAAAACACAGCTGTTACTCCAAGCGTCCCAAACCTGTGTGCAGCCCACACCAGGGAAAAAAAAAACGAATCTGTCTGACAAACATGATGTTGAACGTTCTCTTAATTGTTATCGTTCAAAGACTCCTCTCTACCAGAAGCAAATGTTTTGCACTGATAACAACACAAGTGGTAAACAACTCTCTTTGTATAATGCACTTTTGAAATGAATAATAATCGGTTATTAAATCTTGCTCAAATGAATCTCTGAATGGATTACCAAATGTAAATATTTCTGTTTACACCTCAAGCTCCCTATTTACTCGGGTGCATCATTCATTTCCTGAGTCGAAACTAGGGTTACTCACCAATGTGTACTTTAACCACCTGCATTTCAAATTACACTATTAGCTAATTTTAGCATTAGCTAATTTTTAACACGTGGGAGTAGAATAAGTCTTCGGATCAGGAAAAGTGGATGTGTCGTGAGAAACTTGGTGTTTATGCAGCTAATCTTTCAACAAATACGTCTCATTTTGTACGTTTTGGTGCCCATCGAAGCACTGTTAAAAACAGCGGCTCACAAAAATCCACGTTTTCTATTCATAAGTAGTGTAGGTTTGAGGGGTTGCTTAGGCTTGTTCGCTTCCCGTTAGGTTAAGACTATATATTTTATACGTTGAGGCCAATCAAGAGAACTGCTGGTTTATAAGTTGTCGCCTGTGATCCAGACCCAGTTATACTAAAATGAACGTAAAATCAACTTTTTACGCTAATAATTTGGAACAAAATATAGAATTATGATATAAACTTTGTAACAACATCATAATATACGTTTATTACTACACCATCTATGCCACCATAAAAATTCAAGGAAACTGAATTTTACAATGTTTTTGTCCCGCATCTATTACAGTGGAAAATAGACACCGAAATGGGATATTACCTTGTTTTTTCTACAGCATCTATTATGACGTAAAACAGACCGGGAGAAGGATTATTATTCTGTTTTTGACTCCAGCGGCGGAATTTCCAGACTGCTGGTATGTTCCCTCACGCCTAATGGCACTCTCACGCTCCGTAAACTTTTCACATAATACGAAGCCATTTTGCTGTTCCCTGTGGCTGCCCCCAAGTCCCAGTGTTCTTAATCTTTCCAAGACTTATATAAGAACACTCTGATTCCAGAAAACTCTTGATGGGGCAAAATGTCTTTTGTCTCATTTTGTCTCATTTTCCCCTACTGTTTCTAATGTGCTTTTAAATACTTGTCTAAATGTTGGTCTAATCTGCGCCTAGCAGTTGGGTGGACAGCGTTTCGGATTCGTAGTCCTGAGGTTCCGGGTTCGAGCCCCGGTGGAGGCGGAAACAAATGGGCAAAATGTTTATTTCATCCTGATGCTCCTGGTACCTAGCAGTAAATAGGTACCTGGGAGTTAGACAGCTGCTACGGTGTGCTTCCTGGGGGTGTGTAACAATAAGGAGGCCTGGTCGAGGACCGGGCCGCGGGGACGCTAAGCCCCGAAATCATCTCAAGTTAACCTCAAGTTAACCACTTGTATTCTACGACTTAAGGCACGTACGTCTTTTAACGAGTGTACTAATGCTATTAAAACAGCTGTCAGAAGTGATAATAGTCTATTTAATATAGTTAAAGTTCTTTTCTTGTAAGAAATGTTTAGGAATTTCTGGTCATCATGGGACTTCGTTTTCTCCGCGTTCTCGGAGACTCTGACAAATAATTGACGCGACTTTTAGCAACTTTGATTTCCGCTCCCTCGTGTTACGTCCCCAATTCCAGGTGGAATAGACAAATTTCCTCACCCCGATTAACGTACTGATTGAGAGGAAAAGCTTTCACTCTCTACCTTCCTCATCAGCGGATAATCTTTCTTCTACTCATCTGCTATTCCTTCCGCTTTACCCATTAAATGAAAATCAATGTCCCTCCTCACTGCAACAGTTTGCAATTATTCTCTACCTCATTTGCTGTTCTCTTGGCTGTTTAACTGTCAGCAAACAATCAGTTTTAACCTGCTTATTTGTTTAGGGCTTCTTCGGCTCTAACCAGCAGCAAACAATTATAATCATTCGCTGTTCGCGGTGCTATAAATATCAGTAATGACCCAGCCTCTGCCCCCTCTTTCCTGTGGCTCTCTCGGGTTTAAACACTTGAGTCTCTCTCTGTTGACCAGACCACACACTAGAAGGTGAAGGGACGACGACGTTTCGGTCCGTCCCGGACCATTCACAAGTCGATTGTGATGAGGGAGGTGATGCAGGCAATGAATAGGCAAGAGAGAGAGGTGAGGAGCAAGGCAAAAGGTACGAGCGACAAGGTGTAGTAGAGCGTAGTAGAGCTCTCTCTCTCTCTCTCTGTTGCATCAACGATGACCAACTTTAATAAACTTATTTGCTTGGGGCGATTAATCAGACAAATCTAATCATTCGCGTGTTCACATTTTTCTTGTTTAATTAACGCATTATTTTTGTTTAAGTAGAACTCTAGAGAAGTGTGTCAAGCCTTCGTGATTTTGTTTATTGTGTTTTTATGGAGAGAATAATCACATTGTTGCACCGGATGTCTGGGCTTCCAGTGTGCAGAAACTTGCTTACGGTAAATATTCAGAATTTTCATTTAGAATGTAAATGAAAATGTCATCGTCTGGCGTGGGGACGTTACTTTATATCTGTAGTATATTGGCTTTGTTATGCTAGGAAGGGTCCCCGGCGGTGCCCGGGATAGTCTGTCTCTCCCCTGGCTGTCCATTTCATCGTTCGTCTTTTTTCCTTTCCCCACATCCTTTTTTTTTTTCATCTCATTTTCATCCCCTTTTCCACCTACTCGGACTCTTTCTAGCCCTATCCCTCGTCTCTCTCTCTCTCTCTCTCTCTCTCTCTCTCTCTCTCTCTCTCTCTCTCTCTCTCTCTCTCTCTCTCTCTCTCTCTCTCTCTCTCTCTCTCTCTCTCTCTATCTCTCTCTCTCTCTCTCTCTCTCACCACCCTCTACCCTCCCCTCCGTCTCCCTACCCTCCCCTTCTTCCCTTTAACCTCGAACAGGCAAACATTACCTTTTATATATATAGAAAGAGACCCGGCTGCACTCGGGTCTCTTTACCCTATTTCTACCCTCTCCCCCTTATTCCTACTCTTTATCCAATCTTTCCCTTAAACCTCCAACGTCCCCTTTCCCTTGTCCCCTTCCCCACCCCAG